TATGCTCATGCAGATGTTCACGGTGGTAATGTTTTACAAGATGAAAGCATTAGTAAAAACAACAAATTAATTTTTATAAAGTACAAATATATTCTTATTTGCCTTAAAAAGCCAAAAGGTAAAATTATTTTTTACTTGCTTTACTTTCTTTTTATTCATTGTCATGGCTGAAGTTGGAAATTATTTTTCTGTTAATATATTGCAAAGAAAAAATAATCCTCAGGTATGACAATGCGTGGTGGCAATTATATAAAAGGTTGCATTGCAGATAGCTTAGCCACATACCTGCAATTTTACGCATATAAAATTAGGGCTTCACTTTTTCGACCCATATTTGGTTATTATAAATTAAAACCTTTTCTCTTTCGATCTATATTTAATACAATGGTTGCATTGCGGACAACTTAGCCACATATCTGAGATTTTATGCATGTATCAAATTAAGGCTTCACCCATATTCGGTTATTATAAATTAAGGCTTTTCTCTTTTGATCTATATTTGATTAGCCTTGATTAAATTAAACCTCTTTTTTTTCAGTCCACATATGGCTAGTAGTATTATCCAGCCGAATTCTGTCACTTATAATATTTCAAAGTCAAATTTGGAAATAAAGAATAATAAAGCCAAATAATTAGATAATTGAACGACTTATATGGTTATTTAAAATAGTAAAAGCTTCATTAAATAATATGTTCTAAAAAAAATGTATAGCATGAAAATATTTAACATAGATCATTGAAAATATATATATAGTGTGCTTTTTTGAAGTTCAATAAAATTCAAAATTCAAAATTCAAAAACACAATTATCTAAATAATTGAATAATTTTTTCTTATATTTGAATTTATTTCTTTTGTATTATTCAATAAAGCACAATGAGTGAACATAGTCAAGAACTTATTAAAAAGATGTGCGGTTGTTGCTATGTCAACAAAACTACTGATAATTTCATGCGTCCCTCTAGTATAGACACACTGGAAGAAAATGCTATATGTAACCAATGTGCTGAAAAGTTGAAGAAAAAACAGCAAGAAAATCCAGTAGCATTAAAAAAAGTAAAACGAAAAACAGTCCAAAATATTAATGTTACCTCTGATGAACTCGGTTCTTCTTCAACTAATTTTGACATTATCATTTCAAATGACTTCAACGTCACTTCTGATAATCTTTACAGCACTATTTCTAACGATTTTGATGCTATTGCTTCTGATGCTTTTAATGATTCTAGTACTACTACTCTGGTGCTTTTAATAATTCTGATACTATCGATCCTGATGTGTTTAATAACTCTGTTACTATTGCTCCTGATGTTTCTAATATCAGCACAGATGACATTAGCAATATTGTTTCCAATGATCTTAGTGCAATTATTCCTGATTCTGATAGTATTTCCTATAATAAAAGCGAATATGATGTTTGGGATAATAACGATTCAGATGTAATGATGTATGATCTGGATGAAGTGCATGAAATTATTGCCAATAAATTTGAAGAATTTGAAATTTTCAATAACCCTGTAAAATTCATCTTCGAGGTCAAGTTGGATCAAGACCTTCTTACTAAATTATTATTAGATCAAGATAGTTTATAAACATGACTGATTTAAAAACAATTGAAATAAGATTTGGGCAACTGCATCTATACTTACTATACCACTTGAATCCGGATCTGGTTATTATTGGGAAATTCAAAAAATATATTTAAATAGTAAGAATAAAAAATTCTCTGGTTTAGCTACGGTATATCTTGGCTATACAATATGGGACAATAGAGCTTGGAGAAAACCAAATGATCAGCCACCAAAAGACAAAGTGAAGCCCAAACCCCTATTGAAAGATATAAGTGTGCTAGAAACATCAAGATCAGTATGAATATATGTAGAAGAAAGCTATGCTATTATCCAAGGAACTCATCAGATAGCATATAAAAGACCAAATTATCGTCAGGTTGAGTTTTCTAGAGAGGCAAAAGAATGGATTAAAAATAATGCCTTACGATACAATTTAAGAAGCACAGAAGTTTATAACCGGCTTTGTAATAATGAACTTATCAACCCAGAAATCCATATGGTCAAGCAGGTATATTATTGGGTATCAGAATATACCAAAAAACCTATATTATGAACCAAAATAATCTGCTTGTATCAGCAATGTGGTATCTTGAGCAATCTAAACTCAAAGAAAAAGGGTTCAAAGTTCTTAATTACCTGGAGAATGATTTTGTACGGGTTCTAGGATTTCTGACTCCATTACTTAAGCATATTGGTGCTGAAAACGCAACTGAAATTGTTATAGATTCCACATTTAAGACAAACCAAGAACGATTCGAGCTTTTTGCTGTAAATCTAAACTGTGGTGGATATGGAATGCTGATAGTATATCTATATTTTTCCTCAAAAGATGGTACTGAAGAAGTTTGAAACAGTCAAAATAATCTTATAAAAATACAGGTTGAAGTGTTGTGAATATTTTTTACTAGCCTTCGCCAAGAGGGGTTAAGACTGGTGTTCATTTTAACAGACAAGGATGCTGGTGAGATAGCTGCAGTCGAAGAAGCTTGGTCATTAATTCCTCATATTCAACTTTGCTATTGGCATCTCGAGCATGCCATTGATAGAAAGATCAAAGATAAAAAATATAAATCTAGCATATATTCAGTGACTAAAGCATTAGACGCTCATCACAAATTCGAGTTTATTGATCCTTTATGGATTCAAGATGGAGTTGAATCTATATGTCCGGATAAATATGTTAAACAAATTCTTAAAATGGTTAAAAAACATGCCAATATGCACCCACTCATCCCACTAGCCAAAGAATCTTATTTAAATTCAAGAGAAATCTACCAGTTGTGTGTTCAAGAGGTATATCAGTTTTGTCATTCAAATAATCTAGTTAAATTATAGAGTTATTTGTAGATTAACTGATATAATGAAAAGGACTGGAAATTATTTGCTCGATCTTCATACTCACTTGCCATGCCTTTTGCGTGTACTACGATGATTACAGAGAGCCATTGAAGAGTTCTCAAATATAAATATAAATATAATTATAATTGCTTACGCACAGATCGGCTTACTCAAATTATAGCAGAGCGATTAATTCCAGATTATGAAATTAAATTGGCTCAGTATGATGGAAAACAAACTTTTCCATCATGGTGGGGTGATTTTAAAAAGGAATGAGATAAGGCGGCAGAAGCAGTATTTCACCAGACGCAGAGGACAGATATGAAATTGATACATGCAAGTGGGTATGTTCTTGCCCAGCTTACTTACGTAGCTGCTATCATCTTTGCAAACATCTTGTTAATAAAAAGAATGAAAAGCAATTTCTACCTACATTTTTGGAAACAAAAAGACGACACAATTATCCGTTACTCTTTTTTGGCAAAGACAAAATCCCACCTATTGCTCTAGCAAATAATCCTTGGATTCGACTTGGCATGGTAGAAGCACCAACAGAAACGTCAAATAATTCTGTTGAGCAAAGTAGTTGTTAAGTAACTTGCGAAATTTAGTCGAGGATACAAGTTTCGATGTTATAAAAAAAAGAAGAGAAAAATATCAATATTATAAAAGCAAATTTGATGTTGCATTAGCTTTGTATAATCGGGAGATAAATAATTCCAATTTTATAAATAGTTTTAATATCTTGGTAACGTCATTTTTGAATGAAATAGGTAAATGCGAAGAAGCATTACGAGCTTAACACCAGCAAGGAACTTGGACATCAAATGAAAAGCTTGCATTTTGGCTGCATTAATTATTGGTGGGGGTACTATTCATATATAAATTCTAGATAAAAAAGAAAAAAAAAAAAGTGTCGATGTACTATTAATTAATAAAGATAAAAAAAAAATGTATCAATATTACATATTAATTAAACGTTAATAAAGATAAAAAATTTTTAGAGATCATCCATTATATACCAATTTTTTCATTGGTTAGTGAAGATCATCAGGACAGCGTCCAATAGAAATTCGTAAAAAATGATCTATGGCACATGATCTGATACTTTTTTTTCGCCATGGCTAGGGTACTAATATACAGTAGCATGATTATTGAGAATAAAAGTGATTTTTTGATTAGAGATTGTAAGTTTAATAATGAATTGTTTATGAATCACTTATGAATTATACTCATAAATTTGTACCTAATTGTGATCTAATTACTTATAAATTTTATAAATATGTATGTGCATATCTGATTAAAATTTTTGTATATATGTATATGATTATAATCTAATTACTTACAAATTTTTTAATGTATATATGTATGTACTTATATATGTTGTGAGGGGAAAAATTGTTCAGATTGATATTTGAAGTGGTCCAAATCTACCAAAACTGTCATAACTGACAGAACTGCCAGAAATATTATTACTGGCCGAAATAACAGAACTGACAGAACTGACAGTTCTGACAGATATAGCTATATAGGTAGAAAAATTCGTAGTAAATTAGTATAGTGAAAAAATATATTTAAGCACAATAATTTTATTGTAAATAAAGGATAACTCCCTTAAAAAAAAAAAAAAAAAAAAAGGATAACTCCCTTGAGTTCAAAGTTCCAAATTAAAGAAATTAAAGTATTTAACTTATTGATTCACTTTTATTGTGAAGCTCTGCAAGTTCAAAAATTCAAAAGTTCTAAGTAGAAGTGTTGAGTTCTACTAATTCCCCCGATAATTAAAATCTGTAATAATGATTGGAAATAGTGACCAAATCCCATGATTCTGTATAAAGAAATTCATAACATAGTTTAGAGCCTTAAATGACTCAAATTACTCAAACCAAATCAAATCACGTTTCAATCGAAGCCTATCAGCTAGGTTACAGAAAAAAGATTTTGTAGATTTAGTATATTTTGTATTAAATTTGAGTAAAAGTGACCCCTTGTTAGCTTAGTTTTTATTGTAATATGATTTTCTGCTTCACAATGTATGTACATACTTGATTGTAAACTAATTACTTATAAGATCACCTAATTTTTAATAATCACTATGTTTCAACTGGAAATTTTACCCATATGATAAATATAAAATTATAGTTCCACAAATATTTAGTAGTGCTAACAAACTTTTGTAATGCTGATACAATAATCATGCAAAAGTTACGTACATATGTATATACAATTTTGATTTTTATTGAATCTATTTTGCTGAAATAATAACTTAACCAACTAGATTGGCTAAAAAATTATTTGGCAAATTTTCACTGGTGTTCTAGAAATTATGATAATAGCTGTAAATAAATCTGAATTAGGTTCAAATGAGCTCAAATTAGATTTAAATAAACTCCGTTTATTTAGATTTGTTTTTTTTTTAATTTTTTTGATTTTATAATTTTTTATTATTTTAATTTTTTTTTTGTTTTTTTTTTAATTTTGATTTTTTTTAATTTTTTTTTATATATAGATGTTTGTATATATATGTTTACATACTGTATATCTTGTTTTTACTAATGTTATACAGATCAGATGATTTAAAGTTTGTATAACTTGTTACATTTTGTGTATTTATAAGTATATACATACATATATCGATATTTATTATTATTTAAGTTTTTTATTAAAATGAAGCCCAAGATAGATATTATGCAAAATCGCAAAACATTTGTGATGTTAAGAGTAGGTGGGTAGGTGGGTGGGCAGGTCAATAACAATTATTGACAATTATTAAGGGTGGGTGGATGGGTTAACTGTTTTTAAGAATTTTAATAAGGGCAGGTAGATTAATTTATTTGTTTATATTATGTAACTCAGGTCTCTTGCGGGACCTCTATTAAAAAAATTAACATAACATTTGAGCGTAACCAATATTCAAATCTTAGTAGAGGAAGATATTTTTATTAATTAGCTTCTTTGGGTTAAGGTTTTTTATTCAAGTTTTGAATAGAGAAACTTGCAGCTTTAGCCTTAATAGAGCCTTCTTTTATATTAAAAAGTATAACTAGCCATATATACAACTTGTGGTTGTTTATTTAAGTAGTTTATATATTGGTATTATACTGTAGAAACTATACTAGATGTTATATCTATAATCTGACTAAAGAATTATTTATTTAAATTCTTTGTAATAAAAACTTTTTTGTATCATTAGTACATCTCTATTATATTTATTAGTTGAGAAGTTCTAGATGCTTTTTCTATACTTTTAAGACTAATTTATCCTTAAGACATCATTATTAGAGCTTTTTATATTCACAATCTAGCTAATCTAGACTTTGGTAACTTATACTAAGTCTGAGAACAAGTACTTGTAAGCCAAAGTTATTATCATTATTTATTTCTGCCTTTATAAAGTTTATTCAAACCTCAGTATCTATTTTATGAACTATTATTAGTATTTACATTTTGTTATTGCCTCAAACTTTTAATTCAGATAGCCTAGAAGAAACTAGTAGACATCCTTTAATATTCTAATTAAATTTTTTTCTTCAAATATCCAGCAGTCTAGTTGGTGTAGTATCTTGCCAAATATTTAGTTCTTGTTTAATTTACTACTAGTATTCAGATCTTAATGATAATTTTTTATATAGTATTATCAAAGATTTGTATTACTTCTCTATTTAGAACTTGTCAAGCAGGCTTTTATCTGCTTCAAGTTTTTAAATTTATTTAGTTGTTTTATTTAGATTCATAGATTATAATATTGTTTTATAGCCTCTTAATACAATCTGGTATAACCAAAATTATAGATGCTAACCCAATAGATTATACATAATTTACTATAACATATTTTATAAATTTGAATTCATTATCATTAGTAGAATTCAAACTCTTGTCCTACTATTTGAAGATATAACAACTTATTAATTATACTAAATTGCTATACTCACAATAGCAATATTTTAATATTTATAACAATATTATAATACAATATCAAATATTTATATTTTGTATAACTATTATAAACAATTATATATAATTTCAATTTATAACTCTCCCTGATAATTACTTGGACCAACTGTTTTCAACCAACTCAAATTGAAAAATTTGAAGTTTACATCTAAAACTATTCAAGTTTCTTCTTTTAGTTGCTGTTAATGAATTCTTTAATATAATACATCAAGAAGCAAATATTCAAAAAACAGTTTTTAGGTTAGGTCAAGCCTTTTCTTGTCTTCAGCAGACTCTTTTCTATATTTGACATCTAAGCCAAAAGAGTTATTCTGATAGCAATTAAATAAAAGAGAAACTGTAAATAGTAAGGAATGAAGAACAAAAAACAATCTGAAAAGCACTTACTATGGCTAAACCTCACAAAACCTTTATATTTTCTTATCACTTTTTTTTTGACAAAAAGTGGGAGATTTGGCTATCACCTCCAAAGATCAGCAAGAGATTGGTATTGTTTATCACTTCTATTCTCAGAAAGTCTTGAGTTGTGATATGACAAATAAGAAAAACAACAAAACATATATAAAAATGAAGTTTTAAGACTGAGATTAAATCTGATGATTATATGTCAAGACTTTGAGGTCGAATGTTTTAGAATCCAAATTGAATTTTATATAAGAGTTGTAACTAGAACACTATATAAGATATACAATATTCTGAAGTCATATATATATAATTTTTAGCCTTGACATAGGTTAAAGTACACCTTAGTTTGTTTTTATATCAAACAGCTTTATATATAGATTTCTATAACTATGTAAATAGTTTTTTATCTGTTTAGCAGATTTTTATATCTGTAGACAAGTTCTCTTAAATTTTAGGATAGTCTTTTAACTTCTTTATAATTTAGTCATTTTCTTTGTATATATGTTTTTTTATTTACTTCTTTTTCATTCTATACTTATCTCTTTTTTTTCTTTTTTACTTTTCTATAAGAAAGTGTCATCAAATTGGTAGTACTCTATTGTAAAATAGTGATTCTGACAAGGGTGGTGAAAACTATCTGTTAATACTGGTGATTAAATTCTCAGAAGGTTGAGGATCTCAGTGAAGGAAAATATTCACTTAGACAAGTTGCTTCTGGGTTATACTCTAGTACTTAATTCTGGTTTACTAAAATTATGTTGTAATAATAAAACAGATCGAGAAATTCTTTATTTGAATAGGCATAAAACAGTTTATAACAAATAATGTAGATTTAGTTAACTAAGATATTTATTTATAGAGTGTGGCGACTTAGTGAAGTTGGTAATTTGTCGCATTCCCAAGCAGCAGGACAAGAGTTCGAATTCCACTGTTGACGAAATTCGAATTTTATAGAATGTGTTACAGCAGACTGTGTGTAATCTGACGGATCGGCATCTGTAACCTTGGTCATACCAGCTAGTACTGGGAGGATGCGGAACAGTAATGTAACGCAAGAGTTATATAAAACCCAAGCTATGTATCTGGGTAAATCCAGGGAATCGAGGCACACAGAAGCCCGCTTAGCAAGTCCCGAATGGAGAGGTAGCACAGATCTTTGACGGTACTACGTAAAGGAAGATCATCGGCAATTGGACCTGATAGCCAACTGGATGAGGACCAGGTGTTTGGCAAGGCACCACACCAACCAGGCCACGTGTATATGGAGAAAAAGATTCATCAGAATACCAGGAGACGCAAGTTCCTTCCGAGCCATCTGGATTGGAAGTTTGGGGACGCTGTCAGTGTGCCAGGAAAGTTGGTGGTAGTTCGTAAAGTGGGTGCTGGGGTCTGGGTGAACTTCATAAGGACAAGAGTAGATAATGGTAGCAGCTTCAGCTTACAAGTACTTGTTCTCAGACTCGGCGTAAGTTACCAAAAGTCTAGATTAGCCAGATTGTGGATATGGAAAGCTCTAGCAATGATGCCTCGAGGATAAATTAGTTCTAAGGCTATGGTACGCATTCGAAACTTCTCGACTGACAAATGTAGCGGAGATGTTCTGGTGACACAAGGGGGCTGTGTATGTTACAGAGGGTTTAAATAGGTAATCCCCTAGTTGGGTTATAGGTATGGCAGCTAGTGTAGAATTTACGGTGTAATACCGTACGCGGACTACTTAAATAGGC